AACAATCAATAATAATCTTGTCCGAAGAAGCCAAATTGATAAGCATACCGTGAAAGTTGTATTTCGGCACAGTAGAAGGCTTCACATCAGCTTTTTCATCAAGTGAAAAGAACACCCTGAGTGAATTGTCGGGTCCAGAATCCTAAAAAGCGCATAAGATTAGCCTTGCGCATATTTACTCAAATGGTACAGCTACATGTCAGCGTACAGTGTGTTTGACAAAAATGGGAACCATAAATGTTAAACTGTAGAGAAGAACCAGCCATGGCGCATCCGAAGCATTACAATCACTATTTTCATCTCATTCTACAGCGTTGTAGGAAGGAAAGCAAGGGACCACGAAAAAAATTGCGCAAAAGTGCCACTGGGTGGAGTTCGCAAATCACAGCGGACTAGAGTGTATCCCACTATGTCGCACAGAAGACCCCCACCCCCCCCCTCCTTTTACCTTTCAAGTAATCAACTGGAAGGCCAGCAACCTGAGCAATAAAATAGCAAATGCTTCAAGCCGCGTCACTAGCCAAACAACCAGAAATTCTTAAGTCCGAATATTAAACTCTACACACTTACGTAAAACACACGTAGACGATATGGGTTTATGGGAGCTATCTGAGACAAAGCGTTTGCCAGAGCAAATGAAACTCTTTCATATCCCTGAGAGTAAACATCCTTCACCGATTCTGAAACACAACAGTTCACACATTTTCGTAACTTAGCGAACAACGGTAACGCGAAACTAACTTGATTTCACTTCCAATATGAAAGTATTGTTATCGCTTTGCTTTTGTGACGATTGTATGAAACAGGCACGAATCGGTTGTTGATAATGGGAAACCCTAGTGGATGACGTCTGAGAGTATCGCGAATATGAACTCAACGTTGGGCGACCATCCGTTAGCTTAATAAACAAATATTAATTCTGTGTTCCCAACACCTAAATTTTACTGTAATCTTCTGAGGGACCATCTCTATAATACAGAGAAAAACAGCCAAAAATTGGAACTATATACTATATGATATAAACTCTTGAACGGCGCTCATGTCGCTAGCGGGGGGCGTCGAAGGGAGTGATCCACTTACAGAACTTAAAACTAAACCTCAAGCGAGGTGTTCAAAGATTTTGGGTCGCTCTCCACTCTCCCTGGGCATGTGTTTGGTCCCACTGTCACACACCAGTGGTTTTTAAACACCCTGCTTCGAATGTCCCCCTAGGGCGATGGGCGTCCTTGAACAGTGAGGAGCTTGAAAAGATTCTGGCGTTTCAGTACGCTGGAAATCATTTTCAAAGAGGTCAGAAATTAATAAAATGAAAGGAATGTCATTGACTGCAGAACTGTAGCATAATGTAAGACGAACGTGACCACATACTGCAACAACTGATTCAGTTGACCAATATTCAACTACATGCTTTACCCGCCCTGATAGCCGTGAATCCCACACTTGTGACATAAATGGTTGCGTGACTCATTTCATAGAAACGGAAGCTATGTGGAGATCACAACACAATTTCATTCCCAGAGTCAATAGATCCCATGACTGGAAGAAAATACACCGCGCTAACCATAAAGGACAACTCCCGTCCGTACCGTCCTTTTCGCAATCTGAGATATACTACCGACCAAGCCGGCCTACTCGCGACATGATTACAGTTGAAGCGGATGCCACTAAAAAACGACTGCGCAATCTCCTCAAACACCAGGAATAATCATTAGGCTCAAACTAATTGCCTTGGAAATGCTAATAAGAATTTATTTTTTTCCATGAGGTCCAAATAGAGGCAGAAGATATTACTAGCTACAATAAGATTTGCTTTTTTTGCAGCACCCAGAAAATAATAATCTGCTGAAGCACATCACATGAACTACTACAAAACCAACCTTGAAAGTTAGATACTCTTCCAACCAGTTTCCATCGAAGTGTACCTCGACGGTATTTCCAGTTTTGTTATCAAAAGCTCGAAACACGTCTAATGTACGATTGTCATGCCGGTCTTCACCTAATAAGTGCACGTCGCAGCACAGCAAAAGAATATTGAATATAGACTTTTGCTTGAGTCTCAGTCAACAACCGCCGGAAGTATACTTAAAATATCACAAAAAGTGAGGCCATGAGTTTACTGAAGCATTCTCTAATGCTAAAAGCCCCTACCTGTCCATAGTTTCCAAACTTCAAATCTGGTGCAATCAGGATATCACCAAGAGGGCGCATAGAAAGTGTTCCTTCAGAAGAAATGACGTCTGCTGTGTCATTTGGTAGGGGGCGCAAACAAGGTGAGGAGCCCAATGAGTACTCGTATCCTGAAAGCGGCTGTATGGTTCGATTCGTTCTGGGCCGAAGCTGTCGGTATCTGAGCCGCTCTTGTCTGTCGAACTAGATGAATTTTATTACAAAACAGTCACTGTTGTTTCTATACAATGTGGAAAAAACGCGTAGACATTGCTCGTAGACATAATGGGAAAAGTAAAGAATAATTCAGCAAGTACTGCAACCATAAAAGGAAATACAACCAAAAAAAATGAACCTTTTGTAAAATCGTGGATCACGGAGACACCATCGGGGACATTTGTTTCATTGATAAATGGCACTAAACCATCCTTCTTCTCACCGCTTACGATGACGAGCTCCTCTTTGGCAGAGTAATAAACCTTCAAGAAAAACGATGAAATCATGAGGCTGTGTAGTATCAATGATGAAAATCCATACTGTGCTCTCGTATTTCTTCTTGCTTTCATCAACCATCTCTACAAAAGCGTTGAAAGGATCAGATACATTTCGAGGAATGTTTGACTCCTTCCATCCTTCACATATTGTTCCAGAAGGGGTCTGAAAATGCAATAATGTGTTGATGAGCCATTGTTCACCAAAAGCAAGTGCATGTGTGTGCATACGCACGAAAACAAATGGCTGTCGTCGTCTGACACGACGTCGTACCGGTCGAACTCGATGGACAACTGAGACTTGAGTGACTTCTTGTCTGCAATATTCTGAACTCAGATGAAAGAAAAGGGAATCTCAGAGCTAACAAATTAGAAGCACTGATTGATATTAAATTAATCCCTGATAAAAAACAAAGCAAACCCAAAACTCTTGACAAATATCACAGCTCTCTGGAACCATTTCAACATTTCAATGACGTGAAGCCAGACAGGTAGGGGTTCCATAGTAGTACTTTGTACTTGAGCGATGGAGATAATAAGGACAGTAGAAAATTTAGGACGACAAGACAAATAGGTAGCATAAACCAAGAAGAGACACCTAATGTGTTTCACTGTCGTTCATTCAAAAAGTTTGTGCACCAACAAGGGAGGGTCAACAGGTCGGTTCGACCATTTTGGGTGAGGTGTGAACTTGCATTCGTCTTGAGACTTTCCGCTTCTGCTGGGGACGGAGGTTATGGGGGGGGGGGTGGTTCACGCAATGCTGCACGCCATCTTTTTCAAAGCTACCCCTAGCTGCTCGCAAAAATATCAATATAGGATCAGAAGGCACGCAGTGACCCAGCAATGACGTCCCAAAATGTTTCTGGTTATGTTGTCCCGCAAAGAAAAAGTGCAAGCCTATCTAGGAGGCGACAATTCTGCCTCTGAGCCAAGATTACTACCACGCGCATTTCCTTTTCGTAACTGTTCCGATCGAAAGATAGTCCTCAAAAATGGATCTCGCCTACGCCAGCCTGGCTATCTCCAACCGTTGATGGTTTGCAAGCCAGGCTCAATTTGCCGAAGTGACCAAAATTAGCCCAGACTTGCATGAAAACACAAGCGCAACCAAATGAAGTGCCTAATGACACGCCTATGGACCTAGCAGATATCAGTTGACGACCACGAATGCGAGAGATGGAAGAACGTGTCGGGAACTGTTGGAATGGTTAAAGAGCATGGCGGTTTCTTCATGTTAAGAAGAAGGTGAATAACGAATCTGACTGTTAAAAACAATAAAAAGCAGCTCCGAGCTCAGCGCCCCAAGACGAACACATCGGTGTATGCCTTTTTCCGAGTAGTTGGACCGACCTTTTGACATCCCCTTAGAGAGCAATGCAAGAAAAGAGCATTGAGTAATCAAGACACAATATCATGGAAAAAAAATTTGGTACATAGGAAACCTTAGGCCTAATTAAATGATAAAAACTTAGGCCTAATTAAATGATAATAAAACTTACCGGAGAAGTTTCCATACTCAGAAATTTGAACAGACAGCACTAGTGGATTATTGAAGGCTTGCGATGGCGGTTTAAGTGATCCTGATCCAGCGAACACCACCTGGAATCAATCTAATATTTTCAGCGAACTACAATGAAATGATTGGTTTTCGCACACAAATACCCCCAGGGTTATCCAGAACGTAAACAATGAATTATTAACAGCAACCTCAACTTCACTTGTGAAGGCTCTGTTGGAACAACTCTGTTTCACAGCACCATTCTCCTTTTGAAATTTTGATCAATATAATCACGTAATATGCAGCGCTGCTACAAAATTTTGCGGTGAGCACTTTTAGTCTACTTACGATACCGAGAGAGCGCAATCCGTAGCAGATACCTAACCCTGAAAGGAACCATCTCTTAGAACACAGATCTCCCCATTACATTCGCCTTCACAGCTTGTGCAGAAATTAACAAAGTGATCGGATACCATTTCAGTAACAATGACTCCACTTTTTTTCTCATTTCCATCTATCCCTCCCTTATGTTTTGATACACACTGCGTTTGAATGTTGTTTTGGCGCTTATGCGTTGATTCTCCAGCAACCTAGGCCAACTACACTTTACTTAACGTTGGATACTAATCCACTTTTCATGTTGGAAGAGGTTCAAATTGCAGAAGAATTTCACCGCAAAACTAGTGGTGGCAAAAAATTTCTTCCTGGCCCAGATCGTTGATTTTCTCGCTTTTTCACATGTTTTCTAACGTTTCTCAACAGCACCTCACATATTCTGTCTGAATAATTCCCATAAACTGTTAACGAGACCCAGAATGAGCCGAAAAGGATTCTTCGACGCATAACTGGCCGCTACTTTTGCTGGTCTAATTACTGAGCTCAAGTTCAAAGAATGCTTACACAAACGTGCAACTTCAAAATAAAACACGGGATTTCCAGGCTTCTTGCCCAAAGAAGAGTGTAGAACTTTAAGCAAGTTAAATTATGAGTAGTGACCAACTCAGTGATCTTTCTATGACTTACTTCATGCGAATCCTAACGCATTTCTGATAAATTGCTCTACAAAGATGCTTGGATAGAACTAATTTGACGTACCTCTAACTGGACATTAGATGTTCCGTTAGTCCCATCGACACAGGATACCCAACGAATACCTTCAACACCAGCTACGACGCTGCTGTT